ATATATATATATATATATATATATATATATATATATATATATATATATATATGTATACGTACACTAGTTAGTTATAAAACTATGATTTTCATATTAATTTAAAGATTGCAATCTAATTCAAGCGCTGAATATATAAGCAGGTCAAGTCGTGTTCTGAGAATATGAGAAGTTGTTGCATTGCCAAGAGAGCCATTATTTTCTCGATCAAGATCTTACCGAAACTAAACTTAGCCCGCTCTTTTCAGCGCTACAATTTGCCCCCACGTTGCGATGACGTGGATATTAGTAATTGTAAGGGAGTGAAAAACACACGACAAAAATACGTTTCTCAACGGAGAATATTCATTTCCTTGCTTTAGAACAAAACGCATTTCTTTTATAAAATTTTGGGTGTTCGTCGAAATTTACACTAGAATTTATCAAATATAATAAAAGATAAAAGAGTGCGTATTATTCGTAAATTTTGATTTTATTTGATTTGTAGAGTAAATACTTAGATTGACCAAACATGTGTCTTTAGAAGAGATGAAAGTTATTTGAAGTTCAGTGGAAGTCGTGCCACGCGATAAATGCGCTCACACGTGTTGGCCGAAAATATCCTGAAAACATAATAGCAAAAAAAAAAAACGATAAAAGAAACAAATTAGAAGGCTCGTAGTAATAGTCGTTATTTAAAACGATTATTAATACGGACTTAAAAACATGAGTATAAGGCGAGCAAAGAGAAATAAAAGGAGGATGAGTAAGTGTGCAAAGAACTAATAAGATTAGTAGTTATTACGATTGTATAATACGTAGTTTATAATTGTACATATATACAGGCGAAACTAATCATTGGCAGCATATAAATTAAAAGAAAACATGCGATATATCTATGTATAAAATATTATAGAAAAAGAAAACACTAGAGTATATACATATAATATATATATAAAAATATATATATAATATATATATTTTATATATGTATATATGTATATATATATATACATATAATTCATGGTATGAAACACACACAAAATACACATCTCTATATATGTGATAAGGTTTGTATTCTTTAAGGGAAAAAAACCGATATAGATTGTGTAACCGACTAGATCTCAGCGTAAGTTACGACGTAACGATAAATACATATTGCGTAAGTAACACCAAAATCACTCAGCTGTATCAAAAAATAATTTTTTATATAAGTTCCCACGAGCGCACATCATCTCCAATGGCACATGAATTTTAGTAAACTTATTACGACTAACGATAGCAAACATTTAAGTGGTTGTACATAAATAATAATGAGATGAAAAAATAAATGGATGAACCGAAGAGACGGTTGATGTTGTTAAGTAAGCGAGAGAAAGGAAAGGGGACATAGAGTGAGAATGAATGTATGTATGCATGTATGCGAGAAAGAAAAACGGAGAAAGTGTGCTTGTTTAACTAGTGTCGCGTTCACACGTATCCCCATTTTGTTTTTCATTATAATCTAGTTATACTCGGGTATATCATAAACTTACTTTCATATTTATGTTAAGTACAATTTTTTATAAATAAATCGAATTGAAAAAAAAAACTGAATCAAAAAGTGCTGCAGTGAGTTTCAATTTTTCCAATGTAATTTTATCGGTAGAATACGCATGTAACGTTGAAGAAAGAAAAAAACTGAAGAGAGGATATACAAAATCAATTAACAATCTCGTAGAATTCTCTTCTATTTGTCGTATACGTTACCTTGACAACTGACCAATTGATATTGCATGAAAATTTATTTCGTTTATTCTCTTTACTTTTTTTGGCAAAGAAAAGAAAGGCACGGTACTTTATCCGGTACTCTTTGGCCGCTTATATAAACATATAAAAATTATATATAAAAATTAAAAAAAGTACTCCGCTTACTTAACAACATTAATCCGCGATATATATATTGTCTGTACTGTTATTATTAATCATCAGAAATAAAAAGGAAGAAAGCATGTTTATTACGATTGAATTAACGAATATATTTGAACTTGATGAGCAAATGTGAATACGAGAGAGTTACACCATAGATTACTTGATTGTATATGTATAAAGAATTTACCTTCCCTAGTTCGTAATTTTGCATGTTATATATATATATATATATATATATATATATATATATATATATATA